ATGGTAACATGTAAAAGGTGTTTTTTCATTAAATGGAAGCATTGGCATCAAATGGTGTAAATATGAGTAATATTGGCTGCATTTAAGTGGATTTGGAGGAAACACTGACAGCAATTGAAAGCATATCATAGGTTTTTTTTTTTAAGTTTTAATTTCTTTTGGGGAATCATAATATCCCAAAGCTATGAAATACATGTGTCCGGTAGGATTTATTTTTGAGCTTCTTTGGTTTTAACACAATCTCTACATAAGTCTGCATCTTTTTGTTTTTTCGGTCTGAAATGATCACTACAGGAAATAGAGTCCATACATCTGAAATGATCACTACAGGAAATAGAGTCCATACATCTGAAGTGGTGATGAACTTTTGTGGTGCTGCTATAGGGAAGACCTTCCCTAAAAAAATCCAAATGTGCAATTTTTAATAAGGTATCACCATGAAGGTACCTCCCACCACTAGTATTCAAGCCATATCATGGTTGTCCGGGGATATGGCTCTACAGACTGAGTAAATTCTTGAAATCAGAGACTTACAAATTCAAGTATTTATCCAAATAAATCTTAAATAACTTTTTAAAAGTTTTATCATAGTAATTTTTTCTCATATATGGGTAATTAAATGGACAAAGTTTCAAGTCATTTCAAGCTTTGTTCACTGGTGAAGGTTACTGCATTAAATCCATCTACTTCAGTATTAGACCTGAATTTCTTTCTCTCCTTGACATTAACTATGAAATATCTTTATGCCCTTCAAATTTTAAAGACAATTAGGAAAGTTCGGTCAGATTTTATAATTTTTCATCCTTTTAATTTTGGGTGGCTGGTTATCCATTATATGTCAAGAAATCCCAAAAAGAAATTATGGATACCAGTATTAACTATTAACGTGTATCAATTCATTGATGTTCTTGAACAAATGGAATACAATGAATGTCACCCTAGTTCTCTTTTATCTCTAGTTTCAATGTAAGATTATAAAGTATTATATTTCAATGTTTCTGCTATAGAAATCTTTGTACCTTATCTAATGACTGATACTGTTTGTAGGAGCTTTGTTCTTCCCTAATTTTACAATTAGGACAATCAGGCTTTCCGTCAGAGGCATTTTCTATTTATAACATGTTAAGATACAGTAAGAGAACATTGTGTAAGTCTCTTCATGAGAGAATAGTTGACATCTTAGTGGCAGCAGGGCTTCTGAAAGATGCCTATATAGTCGTGAAGGTATGACCATCTTGCATTTTGGTGTACATATATTTTGTTTTGAGCTCCTCTTGCATTAAGTTTACTGTTTCCAATTGAATAGGATAATACACCACTATTATCCGAGAAATGTTTGGAGAGATTTGCTATTTCATTTATGAAATCTGGCAATATAAACTTGATAAATGATGTTCTGAAAGCACTTCATCTTTCGAGTTACCAAATCGGTCCGGTATGATTTCTCACTGAACCCCTCCATTTTATTTATTTATTTATTTATTTTATTGTGATCTTAATGTTCTTGAGATAGTTTATAACTATGTATCCTTAAATCCATTTCAGAAAGATGGAATGCTTGCTTGTTTTGTCTAATTAATGCGTAATCTTTGAGTCACCTGACCGTAGATTAGCTACATTGACTAAACTAACTATATGGACCTTTATATTCTCCAAAATTTCAACTTTTGTCTTTTGTAATTTGTATAACTCCCATGTTCTCTTTTTTAAATACAGGATGGTGTAATAAAATTTTAGAACAGGTTGGTCAACTTTTTTGTAAATTTTCCTTCTAAAATTTTGTTCTGGCAGCACTTGAATCCTCGGATATAGTATCATCCCAGCACTAGCCAATACCACCTTCTGACAGAAACTTCTGTTACTTTAACCAACAACATGCTACTGTGGCCCCGTCCCTTCTTTAAAAGTGTTCAAAATATATGGGATTTTTAGTTTTTGAAGAATGGGGATACTTTTGTTGATATATGGGCTAAAGTTTGCTATGTAACTCTCTACCCAAGTTATAAGTTGAAGATGACTCAAAGCTGTCAACATCTTCATTTGTGTTATGAGAGACTACACTTGCAAGCTGTTTTGACATTACATTGACTTAGATGCCCATGCAAGTTGAAATTTGAATGTAAAGCTTAAAAGAGCAGAAATGACATAATGAAAAAAGAGGTTATATTTGCACAACTACATCAGATATTTTTTAATGTTGGAGGAACTACATCCTTGAGCTGTTAAAGACACATTAATATTGGCATTATTTTCAAACATTTTGATGTGTGAATATGATGATTCAAAGAAATGAAGTTAGAGAAGTAGAAGGATTTGGACCAAAACAATATAGAAGAGATTTTCTCAAGTTGGTGATCGTAAAGTAGGTTTAGCTCAAATATGCATCTTTGTGCATGTCGTAATTATATAAATTAAGAATAGATGTATTATCTTAAAGTTTCTAAGATAATTGGGCTAGTATCATTATTCAATAATAAAAATTCAATTAGGAAGCTACAGTGTTGAAGACTTGAAACAGTCAACTGTGGTAGCAATGTTCATCACTACCACAGTTGAGGCTCGTTATAGTTGATGTCCAAACTCCAAAGTGTGTTGTACAAGTGCCTTTTGTGATGTGCAAGCTTGTGTACTAGTAGCAGAACTCTTGGGCACGAATTCTGCTATGGTTGCTAGCATGAGTACATCACCTGGTGTTTGTCAAGGCTTTTATGGACTATATTATATTGCAATGCAATGATACTGCAACATGAACTCACATAATTGGCGGGAACAGACACGAGTACGACATGCAGCTAGTTGTCATGCAGCATTAACAATAGACATGTGGTCAACCTTAACCATTGAAATATGAATCTTGAGTAGGTGTCATATTTTGAATGCCTACACAAGGTACTAGTATGATATATAGGTTGTCGAAGAATTGCTGATATTGTGCTGCATGCTTCTCCCCTCACTCTTCATAAAATCATTCTAAAGTCTCCTCCGTTGTCTTACTTAGTACTTCTGATGCGCTTTTCCTTTCTCTGCATGTAAAGGGAAGACCATTGCTCATAATATTATGGTTGTGTCCTGTATGTAGCGATTGAACATAACTTCCTTTATTCATGACCTGCAAGCAGAATTTCATGCTTATTTGTATCTCTGGATCCAGCAGTCCTCTATGCCACGCACCAGAAGCTGATGTGATCTTAGATTGTGTAAGTCTAGACGAGCCTACCATTAAAGTCTGGGCATCTTAAGTCACGTGGAAGCTATTTGATCAGTAAGGCCTATTAAGTTGGACCATATCGCTTCCCTGTAAGGTTGATCCAATTGACTTTGTGGAACTTCGAATTGGTTCGTTGATACTGATTGCAATAGCCACTTCAAACTTCTGTAGAGAGCCAACCAGAATCGAATCGATGTAGGTTGACTAAGCATAGAGTTCTTGCTTTAGATTTGTTGCTTGAGCCTGCATCACTTAATGGCAATTCTGCTGCTTTTGGCAGCTCATTGTTTGGTTCTTTTTTGTGAGTGCCTTTTCACTGAGGAGCAAGTCAGGCATAGCTTTTGTCAAATTATATGGTTGAGTCTGCCTTTCTCTTATGTTCATTTATAAGTACTGTTTGCTGGCATAATGAAATTTCTGTTGGATCCATTTCTCTCCTTTTGGTGACAAGCCTCAGATAATACATGTAAATTTGGTATAGACTTGTAGGTGATATACTGAATCCTTAACCTTTCATCTTGAGGAAGAGGAAAGGTAATAATCTTTCTACTTCGTTCTATAGGATATATTTCACATAGCTGTGTCACGTTTTATTGCAAAACCTGGAAAGAAGGATCTGCTTTTGCAATTGCTTCAATGGATGTCAGGTCATGGTTACTGTGTAGACTCATCATCAAGAAACCTGCTCCTCAAGAATGCACATATATTTGGTCATAAGCAGATCATAACGGAAATATTATCGAAGCAATACGTGATGTCAAGGAAAACAGGAAGCCGGAATGCGAAGAAGTAATCCTGGAGGAGTGAGTACTATAATTTTCTTTTATGCATGTTGAAAATGCTGTCACTTTAATTTTGTTTTTTGTTTCCAAATGGTTATTGGTTTCAGTTATATTTTAAATAGTGGATCTGAATTGTTATGCTACATGTGTTATAGATCATTAGCTCAGACTGTTGGTTATTTAATTGGAGGCTTACCAGCCACTTGCTAAGCCTGACAGTTTCCATATGTAAATTGGGATAGGGTTCCCGGTCGTGCTTACAATAACCAATCTAATAATAACGATAAATCTTTTTGACCAGGTTTGTCATTTGTTGATCAACTGCTAGTGCATTATCCGATGCCACGGGAAGAATACAGCTGGGGAATGCCTTGGTGAAAGATAGATGTGGGTAAAGTTCTCCCGAACGCATTACTAGTTGAAAAGTGGGATGCTCTTGCTCTTCTGCCGGTCGCACTCTGAAAACTCCAGCAGACACTGATGCCTCAATTTGATGCACTTTTAACAGGCTGCTGCGGATCGAAGCATATCCAATTTTACATCGAAGAAACCGATGAACATCGATATCGCCTGTCGGAGGGACAGGGTGTCAGCCTGTCCTCTTTGTGCTGCTTGCTTGGCTGAAAAAGAATGACAGCCCCTTGCTTCCTCTTTGTGCTCCTCCAAGTGTAAATCTAGCTAGCTGTCTGTATTGTTCTTAATTTTCAAGGCCAGATGTACTCCCCTCGGTCAAGGTTTAAATTATTATTTTATAAATATTGTAAACTTATCTGAATTTTCAAGGCCAGATGTACTCCCCTCAGTCAAGGTTTTACAATTTTTAATTTTTAATGACATGATAATTATCCAATCAGAATGATTATGATAAAATATTTTTTAATTCTTAATGATATGTTAATAATCTGACCATGGTCCATCTCTCAAAGCGGTTGGCACGTCATCGCATCTCACATGCTCTCTTTGGTGGGCAAAGAGCATCATTCCCGACTCCTTGTCGATGTGTTGGTTGGTTCAGCACAATGCACTTTTTATTGCCTGGCACATCGTATTTGATGATATGCTCTTACAACTGGGAGACCGTCCCAAATCGAACAACATCAGATATCGTTAGCGTTTAGTTTAGGTGTCCGTCCGTTGAACAACATCAACATGGCTTAACTATGTCCGCCGGGTTCATATAGCAAGGAGAGATGCATTCAAAAACACAAAAGAGCAGCAGCAAAAGCAAACATTCCTCTACGCTTCTGTCACCCTGCACTGCACAATGTAAGCCGCAATGCAAGCCCACAAAGAACAACACATCAAAAAAATGTATTTTAGAATTCTGGAGCCAAGAAAAAAAAAATTTCGTGCAACTGAAATCTAAATGTGAACAAGCTACTTCTGTGCTAGGAATTCTGGAGCATTCAAGAAAAGCTTACCTGTTAAGTTTCACTCCACATGTGCTAGAGACCCCGCATCAGCTCGAGTTCTGCAACATCGGCCAAAAGAACAGAAATTATTTGTTTCATGACCAACAAGTTTAAGTACACAAACAAATGATGTAAAACCACATGGTCAGGTACTAGTCAGACGCATCTTATCCCCAAACTTACTTGTGATCCGATGGATTGGGCGTAATTTCATAGACAATTGTCGCTACCACATCCCTTTTCAGCTGAAAAAGCATAATCCAGTGCAAATCAAGTTGCCATAAGTGAACTCCCAACTTTACATTGAGAAAACCCAACCCCCCCCCAAGAGACTTGCATACCTGAGTAGCTTCCCCTTTTAACCCGATGTAATATATCTGAGTGGTATCCCCACCAAAATTATCAGGAAAATGCAGAGTAAGATTTCCCACACCCTGAAATCTTGAGTATCTGATTAATTTATCAACACCACATGACACCAGGTAAGTTAACAGTTATATTATGTTAAGATTTCATGTCTACTACTATATACATTAAAATATAATCAAACTGTTAAGAACATCACTTATTATCTGTTTCCCGTAAATGGCTCTAAATCGATTACTTATTCTACGGCATGAAGGGTGCAAATTTTGTACATTCTAAGCAAAAGCTATTATATATCATGACAAATTCTTTCTAACTTGGCCAACCATCACAGAACCAACATGTGACCTGATCTCTTTCTCGTATCATTTTTCTGCAATCACACCGGGTGCATTTTCTGCATTATATGAATAACATTGCAAGCATACAGCCAATCTATGAATCACCAAAATTTAATCAAAACTCTCTTTTGTAATTACAAACTTATTAAAAAAACTAAATTCTAGTTATATAACTTAGATCAAGAGAATTGATGAAACCAAAAATTATTACCTTGTTTGATACTCCAAGAGTCCTTGCAAATTCTCATTCAAGTCCCATTCCTTTATAAGAGTAAGAAATGTTTAATGTTTTAAAGACTTCATCGATTAATCCAAAGTTAACAAACATAATACCTGAACAGGCTGCATGTTTTGAGCATCAGAAAAGTCGATACCATCACGGTTTATGAACCTGTCAGAAGTTCGGCAATTTTAGTAAGTTCAAAGAATACTTCTACCAGTTTCAGGCAATAAGAAACTTTGGTGTCTTCGAGGGCTAGCACTTTTGACAACACCAGAAGCCTATGTTACTTGCCATTTGGCCTCGCTCTTGTTTATTTTTTATAGTAGCTTCCTGCATGACAGGTAGCTGGTAATTGCCAATTACCATGGAGTCCCACTAAGTCTTTCAGGCAGTGTGGAGATGAATGCAACCCTCTTGATGTTACTGCTAGTTTTGTAGCAATTAGTCATTAATCCTCTTGCATGTTCGGCAAACAAGGTATCAACAGAAATATAAAAATGACCCTCATCTGCACGACAATGTCTATATCTGCATCTTGCAGCACCTTCTTCTTATATTAGTAAGCTCTGGTATTCAATGGTGCAGTATCTTCTTAAGCACAATTTGGGAAATGAAAGTCTCATCAGTAATGGACAAGTGAATTTACTCTGTATTTTAAGTATTTAAGTAATTTACGCAATATTTAAGTATTCACTGCTTTTTTGTACTTCAAGTGATCACAGATTATACAATATTCCTCTATGGAAAAATTCTAGAACTGTGCTTTTTCTGATTCATAAATGTTGGCCCAGATTTTGTATTCTTTATACTCTTCCTACTTCTCACAACATAACCTACTAGATGAGTCAGATCTTACAGAGAATGGAGAAACATATGTGGACAAAAAAATAATGCAACTCAACTATTGCCAACAGGAAGATGATGATGGTACAAACATCGCCATGTCTCATTACTCTATAATATTCAATATTGTTATTGGTAACTAATAGGGGCTTGTGTTGCACATGATATGGACTTAAAAGAGTTGATTGCTCGGAACAATATAAGTTCAAAAATACATCGATCCAAGATAGAGATAATAAGCTCTGCAGTAACAAGATAAGCATTATTGACCAAGCCAGAAAGTGAAATAGATGTGTAAAAGGTACTGAAGAAAATCAGCAGTTTGTTAAACTACCTATAAATCATGCTTGGATAAGTCACATTTATCACCATCTAGAGCTTAAAAAGAACTTGGTTCCTCACATAGGGACTTTTCATCTTTTTTCAATTCACATATACGCATACATAAACTTAATAATTGAAGTTACTGTCAAAATTGAACCATGCTTGCAAGCATGAAGAGACAACATCCTATTTAGCTGCAATTATCAGAGACCTTATACACTGATATAATGATGCATACGCTGACAGCATCAGAACCCAGACATCTGTGGTAATCAGAAACAAATTTACTGTTAGAATTAGCTTAGTTCCAGTTGAAATTTTTTGATAAAACTGCAAGCACATAGGTAGGTGGAAAAAGAACATGATTCATCCACTTTGACATGGCTGCTCCCAGAATCTAAATCATCCAGATCTATTGACATGTTTTGGAGTTAGTAAAAGCAATAGGAATTGTGTAATATATAGTGTAAGTAACGTGCATAGTATTGGACAAAAAAGGTTGGATTTGAAAATTTCAACCCAGCCATTTCCTTTATTTTTTCCGCAGAATGTAATCCATCTTCAAGAGAAAAAAAACATGCTGTCTCATTTTAATCGATATGATCATAGGTAATTTCCCATGAAACACTATTTTAACTGACAAAAATAATGCCTTGCAATTATAAAAAGACAACACCTTACGTGCCAATGATGATCTGAATGGTGAACATATACGTATACCTTCATTTAAAAATCAGATGAAAAGAGACTCTAAAACTCGGTAAGATTTCATTAAGATAAATTAAAAGGCAAACACGTAAAATTTTCATCATGAGGAGAATCATACGCTCGCATCTTTGAAGGACTTGTTCCTCCAGAACCACCAACAACGGAGATGCTCTTGATCTTGACATCTGACGTAAACCTACATGCACAAATAGCAACCAAATGAACAAACAAACACAAAAAGGCAAAAACCAAAAATGACACATAAGCATGCATGCAAGTATATCTGAATAAGAATGCTATAATTTTGAGCATAACCATAGCTCAAAAAGTATTAACTTGAATGTAGAAGTTTACAAAAAAAGGGAATATGGGAAAGGCAAATAAAATGTTTAAGAACAAGGCTAGTAAATATGCTTTCATAGAAGCAGTTGCAACATTTGTCTGAGGAAAAGCAGAAACTTGCTCTCCAAAAGGGTTGAAGACCACTTATGAAGAGCTTATTTAGCTGCTTCTGTAAAAGAACACCAAAATCAATATCCGCGATTCTGCATACTATTCTGGTTATGCATTTCTTTATATGAACCAACAAATTCACAGCATTTCAAAAAGACATACTATTTTTGAATCAGTAATCATCATGATAATATTGAGGAGCACTGTTGTGCCAAGCACTTCAAAGAATTGCCATGGATTATGCATATTGGTAGGTGATCACAATGTTCCTTCTAAGTAAAAAACATAACTATATGCTTAATGTCATTGTTTAATGCACTGTCATGGAATCAAGCTCAAAACATCATAGGATGTCCATGTTAAGGATTCATCTTGAGTTTCCGGGTTTAAAATGCTCAAATTGTCAAGTCATCACAACCGATCAGAAAATTAAAGATCAACAACTGATATAAGCAGAACTTCTTGGATGCTGCATCTCCAAATACTAGTAAAATTATTTGAATACGATATAAGCATCCGATGGCATTTGACATGAAACTGAAAGCAACTCAAGCAATGCCTCAAATTTTGCAGATTGCGAAGATTGTTTCTCGGATATAGATGCATCATAGTTTCCTTTCAAGTTCCACTAAAGCTGATTACACAAAGAGAAACATGGGACCATTGAAGAAAAATTACCATTTCTACCTACAAAACACCATGACAAAAAAGCTAGATGATGAACGAAGTAATAAGAGGTAATGTTCCTTTAGCACCTTAGGAACTAAAAGAGCGGAATGACTACTTACGGTATGAAAACAAGCAATTCAGGATCACCATCATTGCTTTCGAGGAAGCCCTGCCACATCAATAAATGATCATAAAAAGTTTGCTCAAGACATGCCGATCCTCACTGAGAGAACAATCATTCTCGCTTCTGAGACACAAAGAACCGTGTAATTTGCCCAAGGAAAGAACACACGGAACCAACATCTTTCACCATCAACACAAAGCAACATGCGAGAACAACATCTTTGGGCGAAGCATTAACAGAAGTAGCATCAAGACAGCCAAGCGGGGGAGGAAAAGAAAATTCGAGTGAAAGAAACGCGATACCGACCTCGGACGTATCTAATCGACGATTCCAGGGCTTGAAAACCGATTTGACGCTTCCAGCGACTGCTTCATTTAGGGCCGAAACCTGCAAATGCAAGTAAGAAACCCTGGATTCTCGGTGCCAGAACAGAACAGAAACAAGAAACGGAGCGGACGAATCTGTTGGCGATCTTGATGAGATTAGGGGCGTCTCCGGCGCCACAACAAAGAACGAAACCCTAGTTCAAGAAAATAAGAGAAATTTTCGGGGGTTTCGGGGGGAGGGCGAGCTCAGATGCCATCGACTACCTTGGAAAGATCGATGTGGGTGTGGAGCGACCAATCCGCGGAGCAGTTGTGATCCTCGCAGCTGTGATCATGCAAGCAAGACATTGCAGCTGGTTGCGATCCTCCCTTCCTCCCACTCACTCTATATATACCGATCTTGAAACAGGGAAGGAAAGGGGTCGAAGAACCCAGAGACAGGCGAAAGGCAGGCGGAGAGATGGCTGCGCTGGTGGGAAGTGCACCGTCCAGTTGTCCTCAGGAAGACGACAACGGTGAGCGCTGCTCTGAGTAGCGACTATAGTTACGACAAAATTCAGAAAGACTGACGTGGCACACGCTCGCCTTTCGGGCCGTAAGAGCACTTCACGACACGATATGGCCCTCGGAGGCCTGGTTCCCCTGGCTCGGACCAACCCGGGAAGCCGATGACGACACGAAGCGCTCCTTCTTTTGCCTCGGTGTCCCCGAGGCCCAATGGCTCGGCCCCGCGGGACCACTTGCCTGTCTGGGGACGGGCATTTCGGCGTGCCTTCCGTTCAAATGAAAGCTTGACCATACCAAGTCCCGAACATATCGCTGCGACTTACGTCACGATTCGATCGAATTGGACTGGCGTGGCGCACATCTAGCGGCGGGATCCTGATCAGTGGGCTCCTTGATGTGCCGCCCTGCCTGCCGGCACGTAAGTCGCGGTTTGGTAAGACAAGCACTTCACGACACGATTCGGTAAATATCTCATAAATTTGCTCCTAAAAATTATGCAAACGAAACCATATTAAATTGATAAATGACATTGATCCAACCAATGGAAGTTAATCACTGCTCGCTCCTCTATACGGTGGACTCTGGACAGGACCACGGACAATCTGATGTTGAATATTTTTTGATTGAAACAATGCATGTTAATCAATTAATCATTTCTCACAAGAATTTATAAAAAATATGTTCTCCAACTTTTTTAGGAGCTGAGAGCATCCTAAGAGAAAATATCTGACTACCTAAAGCATAAACTATAACAAGTAAATAAGAAGATCAGTATTGGGAAAATCTGGACCCTAGTACATTCTCCGATGAATATCACAAGAAAGCTTTAAAAGCTCGATGCAATCTGGGTAAGCGAGAACTTCTAATAGTTGAAAGCCTCAACAAAAAATGGGTGAAAGCGTATTTGTGCTTGTCAAGTCATCACTCGGTTGAGCGGACACAAGTTTGAATTCAACTAGTATGTGATAAATCTCTTAAAGCATCTCTAGGTCAAAGGGTAACACTACTGAGTCCAAGTCAAAGGACTCCATCATAGGCGATGGAGCCACAACACGAGATGGATTTGCCCCCACATGGGGCGCATCCTCTATCGATGTGGTTGACTCGACTCCTTTTGAGACTAAAGTTTCTATTGTCTATACCAATGATAGTGATGAGGTCGGTGACATATTCGAGTACAAAGTGTTAGAGGATGAGGTTGAGAATGACATTGTAGACATTTAGAAGTTATGATTGCTGTGAAGCCCTAAGGTTGTTCATAAATGTTCTAGTTGTTAGATGAGATGAGGAATATTTGAGGTAGTAAAAGACTATTTATTGAGGTCAAAGATGATCCTTCATCTAGTTAGTCACATATTCGACTCCTGAGCGTCTTAAAGAGAGTGGGACATGCAATATCATCCGACGTGACCCAAAACATGCGATGCAATCCTTACAACTTAATGGTTGTTTAGATCATTAGAGAAATTATGTCAAATCTATTATAATCTACACAAAAGGCCATGCGACAAGAAATTATTACGTCCTGTTTTCCTACAACCATGAGCGAGCTTTGCATATGATCGGATGTCAGACCTTTAGTGTCCATTTAGATCTTCTTGCCCATCGAAGGAAGAGGCACATATGGCACATGCACTTGTTAGCTCTTTGTGCATTGTCATGCCTAATCTCTCCAACCCTTAGTGTCACCACATACAACCCTATTTGCTCTTTGTACATCTACGACACCTAGCCTCTCTAGCCCCTAGCATCATCACAACTTACCTTATCGACCTTTATGCATCATCGCGCCTAGTCTCTCCGACCTTGGTACTACTGTACATAGTCCTATCAACCCTCTATGCATCGCTGTGCTTAGCCTCTTTGGCCCTTGGCACCACAACAAGTAGCTCTATCGATTGTCTATACATTACCATGCTCGACTGTAATATCTTTATGCGCCACCATGCCCTATCAAGAATGTACCTAGTTAGGGTGCTTAGCCAACATGCTGCATCAACACTACCAAGTTAGGCAACCCGAGTCAGGCTTACCAAGTTGAGTTCATATAGGCTAGCAACCCAGATTAAACCTACAGAGTCAAATGGCATGAGTTAACTATTCCATCATCTCGTATACAAATTGTGGATATCAATTAGGTTATACTTTCCAACCAATTATTCGCAGTTCTCCTACACTATTAGCACCTTTTGTGGCACTTTAGATCATCATTCTCACCATTTGCCCAGTAAACACTCCCTTACTATGTGTCCAAGTTATTGGTTAATTTATGACAAAGCTAAATTAGTGGAACCACCCGATGACAACTCCAACTGATGGCAATTTCAACCAATGTAATAAATGAATATAACAACCTGAGGTCGCAATTATAATAGCTTTTCACTAAGTAAACTGTGTAGCACCTTCTCTCAAGTAGCTACTATAAAAGGAATCACATTGGTACACCTAATATATAATACAAAAGAACGAATAAAATTCGATCTATCTGACTAGTCCAACTTACTTATCTTGAATACTGACTTAGTATCATATGGATATTATTAGGATTACCCCCTGATTTAGTTTTGTAGAGGTCGGACATCCAACTTTGTGAATTTTTATAAGATCGAATAAAGAAGGAACCATGTTAGATCCAAGTTGACATCTAGTTTGGATAACCCAAAATCAACTCTATTTACAGTGAATCAAATTCTCAAATTTATGGCCTCATACGAAAGATAACGAGTCACTGAAATATTATTACACCTTAAATATTATTACACCTGAGAATCTAAAAAGTACTAAAATTAGATTATTTATCTTTAGAACATAAAGCACATCCTCTACAGTATGCATTGCTTTAATCTTCACTTTACCGGCATCAATGGCCTCCATCATATAGTTATCGCCCAAACTCAATTTACCAATTATCTTATTATTCAGTTAATCAAAATAATCCTTCTAAGAGTAAATATGAGTAACACAAGCAAAATTTAAAAATAAACTCTTTTGAAAAGATACATAGTTACCTTTAAAGATGGTAAGAACATCTTCATCATTGTCCATCACAATGGAGCACTTATCGATCTCTTTTTATTATTTTCTTTTTTCTTTTTAACAATTTCACATGATATGTCTATACACTTTACATCTATATCATTGAATATTATCAAGAAATCTGACTCTTGATCTTGATCTATGGTATTTTTTCACATTAGAAAATCATCCTCATCGATCTCCACCCTGAGTAACTACTATCTCAGTATCCATATTCTCAAATTTATCTTTTTTTTCTTGTAGCATAAGACACTAAAACTTTTTCAATTTGTTCTAGAATTACTCTACCCTTCTCACACAATATCATTTTCATAAAGTTATCATAGGAGTCGGTAAGCAATAAAAGAAGAAACAACATTTTATCTTCTTTATATTAACTTTCTTTAGTTGATCCAATATTATCTTGAATATATTCATATGCTTTACAAGCCCCTTGCCTTCCTCCATCCTCAAACCTATATAACTTTCATTTCAGATATAATTTATTAATTAAATATTTTATCAAATAAATATTTTCTAATATATCCTAAATAATGATGATAGAATCATCATCAATAATATTATTGATACATCATCAGTGATGCAAAGATGAATAATACTCACGTATTTTACCTCAAGCTCCTCCCAATCTTCTTCGCTCATCTTTTTAAAAAATTCATCTACTCATCCTTTCAATATTTTTACTAGGTCTTGTTGAATGAGAAGATCCTTCACCTATCTTTGTCACAGGATAAAATTATTTTTTCTATCAAATTTTTCTATAATAAAGCCAACAAAAATAATTGATGATATCCTTATTAAATCTTTAATCATATGATTCTTTAGACTCTATATCATTTTGTTAGGGAGGGAGAGAAAAAATAAAAAATAAAAAGAGAAATCCAGCATAGATTAATAATAAATAATTTAAAAAACTAATATAAAATTAATTTAGTTCGACAAATCCTAAAATCAAATTCTTCAAGATTAATTATAGTACTTTGAGTTATTTTCACGACTCTTCGTGTTTATCTCTCACATAAATATAAAAAACTCTCATTTTCATTAAATCTTAAGATTTAATATATATTTATAGAAATAAATATTAACTTATTAAAAAATTATTTTAATTAAAATTTTATTAATTAATTTAAATATAATTAAGTCTCCTGAAAATATTTACTAATGGAGTATTTCCCAGCATGCCTAACCCAAGGGATTTTTTTAATAAATTAAGAAATTATTAATATTATTATATAAAAAAAAGGAAAGCACGGCGACCGAGAGCGTAGAACAAGTGGCACCGCATTAAGCCAACGGCACTCCGCCCGTTGGAAACGTCGCCTCTCCTCGCACTCACTTGATCCTCCCTCCAAACTCTCGTCTCCCCCGAACTCGCCATTGGCGCCGCGAGCTATTGCCCTCGGATTGGGTCTCTGGTTGGATCTCGATGGAAGGGCACAGCGCGGTGACCGGCTTCGAGATGGCCATCGTGGTGCCCAAGAAAAGGGAGAAGGAGAGAGATGACACCGCTGACTGCGTCGAATTCCTTGTTCGGGAGTTGAAGAAGGCAGGGTTGATCGTCGAGAGGGTGTTTGGGATTTCCGATGAGTTCATAAAGGTCGGGTTTCTTTTGTTATTCCCCTCTTTCTTTTCTTTCAACTGTGCTCCGTCTCCGTGGGTTCCCTTTGGATTTCAGATCTTTCTGTCAACGTTAGGTTTTCTGTAGGAATTTGTTATGGATGATCGACGATTCTCCTAGGTACCTTATCATTTGCTGTCAACGTTAGGGTTCTTCAGTATCCGCTCTGGGGAATAAAGAAAGAAAGCCAATTTCACGAGAGATTTGAGTAAGTTTAGTACTTGAAAAGAATTCTTAGGTTCTTGCCGTTCTTTTTTCTTTTTGAAGAAGCCCTTTTGAGTGTTCCATTTGACATACGAGCCAAAGTAAAATTATTTCATTTCACGATCAATGTGAGAGATCGGAATTGATATTTCCCACCCTTTCTGAGCTAATCTTTGAAAGCGAGAGAGGAAAAGATACTGCGCTGGGAAAAAGTTAGATTTTTATTTATTTATTTTTGGGTTATCTTCATCTCTTTATCTTTTTTTATCGTATTGTTGCCATCTAAGTGGCAAAGGTGTTACAGTTTCTTGCACTTTGGCTTGCGTTTCGAGTTAGGGAATTCCTGAGAGAGAGAGAGAGAGAGAGAGAGAGAGAGATTACTGAAACCCTGGGGTTCAATTATTCTTTGACCTGATGCTAGTCTTATGACGTGGTGTCACGTCGATGCCAGATTTTGCGCTGCTTCTTGTTCTTGTAGAACTAGGGTTGACAGCTTTCTAGAGGGACGTGGCTCCATTAACTTTCTTTCTTGATTATTATATGCCGTGCCTTGTATCTTCTGGGCAAAAAGATGAGAGGAGAATGAGACTTGGTTGGTTGGAAATTTACTTTTTCTCCTCCATTAAGATATAGGAAAAGACACCTTAATTGCTTAGACTTCATACTATTCCACAGGTTAAATTAAATCTTCTTGTCGGAATTAAATTAATTTTGGTGATTTTTTTTTTCTTTGAGGTGTCTTAGTTCTTCGGGGGATTAAAGAAAAAGAGAAGAATCTTGCTTTATGCTGCAATGAGAGTTGACAATAGCATTAGTACTCGTGCAACATTCTTATAGGTTTCTGTTGTTCTTTTGTATTTTCAAATTCTTTTTTAGATCCTTTGACTTGCAAGCCAAACTGTCATCTGTTACAATCTTGATGGGTTGGTTATTCCATCCTTTACTAAAAAGACCTGTCACGTTTACAATTAATGAAGGAGATCTGAATTATTTTCTAGTCAAATATTAAGAAAAACTATTGCACCAGGTTATCATTGCTCATATCTCTTGTCAACACACTGGTAATTCCGTATGCTAACTGGTAATCTAGTAATCTAGTATGTTTCAGTTTTTATAATATGGCTTGCTTGTTAAGTTAGGGATTCTTTTGAGGGAGGGGAGAGGGTTAACTATAAACTTGAATCTGTATTATCATTCCCAGGCATTTTTCTGATCTTGTTGTGTTGATGCAAGAATCTGTATACCTTATTGTTTTTGTAGTACTAGGTTGGACAGCTTTCAACGAGGATGAATCTCCTCGTTCTCAAATATCTATAAATGTACTCCTTTTCCCATTAGGATCTAGGAAACTCAAGTCACTTAGCATTCAGACCCCACAATGCTATAGGTTAAGCAAATTTTATATATGTCTAGTTAGTGTTTTTGTGTATTGCTTGTTAACTTGAAGTCAGGTTGACATCCATTTATCAGGGTAAGATCATCATCTGACTTGATGATAAAAAAGGAACGCTTAGTTGTTTCTACTGATAACTGTTAAAATTCTCTATACTTATGGGGCACCTGCATTTGTGGTGATTTTATGTTTTCAGCTTGCAGCACCAGTAGAAATTTTGGGGAGAGTTGCAGCTGAGTTGCAAATGAAAAAGTTAACATACATCGGTACTTATCTAACAATTCTATTCTTTTCTGTCACCTCAGAAAACTTGTATGATGTAATCTTTTGGTTTTCTAATATTGGCCTTTTTGGTTTAGGGATAGAGTTGCAGTTCGAATGGGATGAGGTTACTGCATTTGTTAGGCAGCCAGATGGATCTTTGTTCAGCTGGTGTGAGCGGTTTCGCTGTTTTCAGCACTTGATTTATGGAATTGTAGGTTGCCACTTTACCCCATTCTTTCTGACATGACTAGGGTTTGCGATTATAATGAATAATGCTGCTTAAGAGTATTAAGAAAAGGAGATGCTTGAGGGCATAAGTTATATATCTTCAGTTAGGTTTTAGATAGCTTCTTCTGGTGCTAATATGAGACTATGCAATCTTAAATTTGCACATTGCATAAATGAAATGAAGGCCATAATATGGAAAAGTACATGACAATGTTTTATCCTTTTCTTACACTTTATAGAATTTTGGATGATATTAAATAGCATTATGAATGCACTAGACCAGTTGTCTCTTGAGGCATAATTTTCTGTGCAGTGTGCACCATAGATAAATACATGAATATAACATAAACATATTGACAAAACCACTTATTCAGAAGGATCATTCATGATGCTCGAGATTGGATAGTTTAGCCCTTAGTTATTGAAGCTTGAGTATGATTTTGTAGTACAGTTTGGGCCTGTAAACTGTATATAGAATAGCATTTTGGGATGTAAATTAACTGTTTGGACCTCTGTACTGACTCAAGCAGGTGAATAAAACAGATTCAGACATGATGCTTTTGTTTGATGGAAAAGAGTTTCAATTTCGAAGAAATGAATCATTACTGAAAATGATGGAAACTGACGAGGTTGTCAAGCAAGTTTTTCCTACACATGGTAATACTGATCTGCATCTACCTATAAATAATCAGACCTCATTTATATCTGATTAGATATGCTTCTCTGCAGATGAAGTGAAAAGGAAACAGCTCTTGAGAACTTGGGCACTTAACTGGTTGGACTTCACATGGCAACCAATAGATGAAATTTATGCATATTTTGGGACAAAGGTTAAAGAATAATTCTTCCTGATTGTCATCTTCTTATCATATTATTCTCTTCATTATTCGGCCTTTTTGATAGGAGTAAAAGTTCACTTACTTGCCACCCAAAGTTTCTTACCAATCATTCAACAGTGCAGATTGCTACATATTTTGCTTTCCTTAGTATGTATACACGGTGGCTATTCTTTCCAGCTGCACTGGGTCTTGCCTTGCAGTTGGTTGATATTGGGTATGACACTAAAACAATATATGTTGGTTAACAGCCATTCCATTTTACATGTGCAATGTTACACAATTGATATGTGTGATTACTTGATATTGATTTAGACCCTTGCAGCCACTGGTGCTTCCTGCTTTCTTCATTTTCGTTGTCACATGGGCTGTCTTTTTCTTCCAGTTCTGGAAGCGCAAGAATTCAGCACTTCTAGCCAGGTAATTGTTTCATAGGCCACCAGCAGAAACACTAACACTTGAAGCCAAGAAGTCTAATCATTTGGTTTTCTTTCACATTGGGCAGATGGGGCATTAACTATACACTGTCCGAGTACAAAGCTGTACAGATAGCACAGAGTTCCTTCTTACATGTTCATGACAAATGTGAAAAGAAATTTGGAGATGAACCAATAGAGAAGAAAATATTACAAAGAGATGAGTGGCTTGGACTTCTTCTACGAATAAGAAATAATGCCATCATAGTGTTGGCTATCATTTGCCTTCAGTTACCATTTGAATTGGCGTATGCTCATTTGTATGAGGTCACCGAGTCTGATGTATTGAAGTGAGATCTCTTACTTCTACTCTTCATACAAATTGTTACTTTTTCTCTGGTGGGTCATGTTGGCTTGCTGTTTTCTTCATATACTTTATCTATCATTGGTCATTATTTTCCCATTCAGTACATGTTGATGATTTACCTGCAGTGCATTTTTAGCTCGAGGCATAACTTGATTTGGAATATTATAAATTGAAAGCTATACATTTTTGAAGGAAAGATGGGTATTGAAGTTCTATATGGGGTTGAAAGGGAGAGTATGTATGGGGCATCTTAGTAAAATTTTGGTCACTCGAACAATGGAAATGGATAAAAGTTAATCTTGTTAAATGAGATGAGTGGCGAGCTTATAAGATCCTTTTAGTGTTGTTATAGCTTTTTCCCAAGCTAACTCATAATAGAGGGCCATTAAAAAAACTTGCACTAGAAAATTGGATCTAGAAAAATTGATTATGTTTTTTTGAATGTTTAGCTATTGAGATGGTTTTTAGACCAGGCAAATGATTTTCATGACATTCATTCAGTGGTCAATAATAGCAAGGAGGCATGTGGAAAAAGTGAGAACAATGAAATTAACAAGTATTTTGAGTTTCAACAGCTTGTTAAGGGAACAGTTGCAAGTGGAAGTATTACAAGGAGGGAAACATGAGTCTTCTGCTGCAATATGCAATTGCTCAGGGCACTGCTGAGCCTCGATGGCAATATAAGAGTTGCATGGATCTTTTTTTTCTAGATGCCTTACTAAGGTTACCTTTAAACCTGCTTTTTCAAGTGAACATAGTTTTAAACAGCAAAAGTTCTTCAAAACAATCACTGGAGACTTGCATTGGCTGAGGCTTAAGACTTATGATTTTGGTTTTAGTAGGAAAAGAGTATAGCAAATGAAATAGAGCTGCCCCCAGGAGTGTTTTAATAATCAAATAACATTAAAGGATTAAGCACTTGTAGGTGATCAATAGCTCATCAGCAAAACACTATATTGCAAAAGTATATGTTTAGATAGACTCTGGTAAAACTCTGAAGGACAATGCTTTATTTATATAAATTTTGGCAATCTTAGCTGTAGCATGGTGAAACATTGAAATGAAAAAAAAAAATTACATAACGGTAGGTAAAACATAATCACGGGCCAATGATGGCCGGTTGCACATAACTTATGTTATGTAGATTCAAAAAATGTCCAATAAAACAGATGACTTTGATAATGTAGTACCAGTAGGTTTCAAGCTGGAAAAGGAAGTTACCTGAATTTCCATATCGTCACTGGATAATGTAAATGTGGTTGCTACTTAAAACAGGAGTATTTCTAGGCTCTAGCAGCTAAAATGCCATAATCTCATCTAGAGGATACAAGATTCACGACTAATTGCTTTTTTTCTCAGGTTCAATTAATTAAGAATTTTTGGATAGTCATCAAGTATGCAATTAAAAGTTAGTCAAACAGCATATGGTGACAACAAGGATTTGACCACCATGAATGCAACAAGCATATGATTTGCATTTAATTTTTCAATGAGGCCTTTTCTTTTGCTGTCTTAAGTTTGTCTACAAACTTTTGAAGGGACTAAAATTGAGTAGTGAAAATCATATGCCAAAATGTTGTATGGTCACAAAATACAAGCAGTAACGACTAAAGATGACAAGATGGTAGATTGATTGTGCAAACTGTCTGCTACAGTTTTGACAATCAAAGACAGTCTAAGAACTTTTGAGACTTGACCATTATTTTTACATTTTGAGCTGGACATGCATATAAGTATTTAATTGTGTACACCGCATTACAGGTATGCACTGACTGCTGCTTATCTCTTGGCAATTCAATACTATACGAGGATTGGTGGCAAAGTATCAGTTATTCTCATTAAATATGAAAAAGATCAAGGAGAGGAATCTAGTGCTGCCAGTTTGGTTTACAAGGTTGTCTTAGTTTGTAGAAGGATAACGATGTTTTTCTTTTTTCCTTTTTGTCTTTGTGAAAAATTATCAATTTCAATTGAATGATTGATTCTTTTTCTGCTTGCAGGTTTTTGGACTTTATTTCATGCAATCATATATTGGACTGTTTTATCATGCCTTATCGCATCGAAATCTATTGACTCTTCGCCAGGTCCTAATTCAGCGATTGGTTGTCTCTCAGGCATGCTGCAGTCTGCAAATATTTCTTGTATGTTACTATGTTCTGCACTTTATCAAGCTTATTATCTAATTGATAGTTGTGAATGTCCAGGTTCTGGAAAACATGATCGAGAACTCCATCCCTTACCTCAAGTACAGCTACAAAAAGTACAAAGCTTTTCAGTAAGCTCTCTCATACCTTGTAGTTAGTAAATGCTTTCTTCTTTCTTTTTACCCAAAGGAAAGGATAACTGATGGGTTATAATACTAAAATAGCAAGAAAAAGCATGAGAAGGGATCTTCAGAAAAAATGGTTCACCTGGTTACAAGGGTGGAAAAAGAGTATTTGAAGCCTTCCTACACTGCAAGCATAGGCGAAGAGCTTGAAGATGGCTTATTTGATGGTAATAATTCCTGATAGGTATTTTTGTAGCACATCCATAATATTCAGAAAGTTGGATGGCAAAATTGCATATGTTGAATATAAAGTGATCTAAACATGAATGATTGGACTTTGGATCAGATTTTTTGGAGTTGGCTTTGCAGTTTGGAATGATCATGATGTTCGCATGTGCATTCCCCCTCGTCTTCTGCTTTGCTACTCTAGTATGTTTTATTTGGTTGCTGTAGTTATAATTTCTAAGCGTACAGTTATATTTCTTTAGTCTTCTAATTGACAGCTACCCAAGAATTTTTAACAGGCTGGTGTGAATTTTTTTGCTCTAAATGACATTTTTCCTCATGCAGAATAATGTCACTGAAATTAGAGCAGATGCTTTGAAACTTCTTGTTATGTTGCGGAGACCAATACCCCGTGCTGCAGCAACAATTGGAGCATGGTTGAACATTTTCCAGGTTAGAAGATGTCTCTTTTGTTAAAATTATTATTGCAAGTTCAATATCTGCAATTCTCGCTAATTATATGTATGTGGCATCTATTATACGGTTTGCCCCTATAACCATTATGAGTGTGATAAATATGTAACTCTATTCTCTAATGGTTATGTTTAATATAATGATCTCTTCAATGTTCACAGAATGATGATGCTTAGATCCTTTTCACATTACAGTGCCCTTTTGAAATGGTGATGCTATTTTTACCTTTGATTTTCTGTATGCACACATTTGTCCCTTTCAAGTTTGTATGGTCAAGAAGCCACTTTGTGTGAATACTAAATAGTATATTCTTTTTTCAGTATTTGTCTTTTTAATTGAGCTGTTTATTCGAGCATTATAATTGATATTATCAGAAAATGAGAAAAGCATCATAACAGCATTATATGACCCACTAAAGTCTTTTTTTTGCAATTTTTAGTTCCATCTGCTTTGTTTGATTAGTTAACTCTTAGCCTATATTACAGTTTCTGATTATAATGGCAATCTGCACCAACTGTGTGTTGCTGATTTGCTTATATGATCAAGAAGGCAAGTGGAGGATTGAACCTGGGCTGGCAGCTATCCTCGTAATCGAGCATGCTCTTCTTCTAATTAAATTTGGGTTCTCCCATTTTGTGCCCGAGGTGATTTTCTCTTTCCATTTAATCTGTGTTTCTAGTTGATCATCTAGACAAGTTACCATCGGTAGAGATATCCTGTGCATTGTGAATACTGACTTGACAGGATGGTAAATAGAGATAAGACACTGAAACATGCTTTATTAACAGGAGCCGGCTTGGGTGAGAGCAAATCGAATGAGAACTGTAGCTCAGGCAAGGGATGTGTTCTCAAAGCAGCTCTTGAGGAGCATCTCCAACATAGAAAGGAAACATTTATGAGGATAGTAGAAAGCGCTGCAAGTTTTGTAGATCATGTCGTGGCCCTTCCTAACTTCCCCATCTGTAGTTTTCAAGAGGATTATGAGAAGATCTTTACCTGTTCTTTTTCTTGGTTTCCATATTTCTGCTTCTTGCTGGTGCCTTGCATCTTTTGTTGTCTACTGTAATTGAGTGACAGAAACATTGATACGGTGAAAAGATGTTTTCTCTCCATCATTTCGAGATTTTTGGCATGCATGCTAAACAAGAATGCATCTGAAGCAGGGCTAACAATACAAATAGAGATTCTCTCTGATTAACAGGTAGTATGGATGGATAACTAAAGAGGCGGATGAGGATGCCATAGATAAATACAGAATTCATGGGATTCTCATGAAAATCAAATAAGAGGTGCAACGCGTGCACGGAGCTGAAAATTTTATGAAGAGCTCAATATTATTCTGATGATTGAGAAGTGGTGTTCTGCCACCACCACCACCATATGAATCTTGCTGGTGTCGGAGGGATAGAAATATTTATACAATGAATGATTATTTATTTACCTTGTTTCATTGACAGAATCATCATTGCAGATGGCACTGAAGCTCAGCTGGCGAGCGTAAGTGACGACTGCCTTGGCCCACCTCTTGATTTCATTCTTGAGCTTCTCCGGGTCAAGGTCCTTGAGAGTGCCAGCCTCCACGACGAGCTCGAGGGCAGTGAAACACTGGTCAGAAGTCACAATCTTGGGAGGCTCTTTCTCTGTTGTCCCGGTTAGATCCAGGTCTGTAGACATTACGCCTTCTTTTTCCTATTTCTTTTGGGATAAAAAAATGTTGCCTGGCTGTTGAATTTATAGACATGCTGGTGTTCAGGTTGCAGCTCAATGATTTATACCAAAACAGTTTGATTCCCTGGAATTGACGTGAAGGATGGAAACTGAAAGTTGCTGCCTTGAACGGTGAACTTCTCTACAAGTTTTGGTTGGATAGAAGGTGCTTCTAATAACTTGGAGACTTGGTTTCTAAGCCACAGTTTTGAATTGGTCCACCGAAGGAATAAAACTGCATGCATACTGTAAAGATTTGTAGAAGTTGAATTATTCTGCTCCATTGAATTTCTCCAAATTTGTAACTTGTCTTCTCTTCCATGCTAAAAATTCCCTGGCTGTCTCAGATTGATTCACATGTCGATGCCCCAGCTTTAAGTTTCAAGAACCAGTTTGGCTGTGGAGTTTAGAATTCAATCAGGTGAGTTGTTTGTTTAAAAGCATCAATCTACACTTGCACAGAAAATACCTTGGGTTGCTGTTGCTTGTGAATAGTAACTTGCTCTGCTTATGCTGGGAGCAAATAAGAGGTTGGAAGTTCCTCAAGTAACATCATTACAGCTTTATAATTTTCAATGGGTTAGATTTTTTATTTTCAATTCATTTGATGTATCATCTTAATGTACAAGAAATTATATGAATTTGTTTTCACCATGAAAATATTAAGTGATTGTTGTTGGAAATAATTAATGGCCCGATACTGTAAATTGGTTCATATACTCATCTTCAAGCTTTGTTTCAATGCATTGTATGTTCTGATGGCTTATCAGCAGAAACAGAGCGGAGGCTTTCGATGGGATTCAAAATGTAGATCCATATCCGAACAATTGTCGGGTTGTCGGGTTTTGCACTTATTATCTAACATGAATGAACCATTCACACCCGATTTGTTGATTTAAAAGATCCGTGTTCTCGGGTCAGGCTCGGTAATGTGGACGGGTTATCGGGTCCGCCAACGTCTCTCTTATTAGTCTCGTGCGACCGCTGGCGCATGCTCTCCTCTTCGTTGCCCAAATCGGCCCTTCGAAGCTTCTCCTCGAAAGCAACCGATCGAAGAGGAAGAAGCAGAAGAAACCCCCGGAGGAGACGACTCCTCTGTAGCTCAAGCAGGTGATGACCAATGGTCCCTCTCGTGCTATATATCTCAGTTCGTTTTGCATCTCATCGCTTAGCGCTGCGATCCGCTACAGATTACGCTCAGGAGCAGGAGATGGAGACCGAGGCGCTGCAAGTCATTCTCATGGACGACATCGATGGTGTCATGTCATCTTTTTCTTATAAATGGGGTTCTGATTACGGAACCTAAATCTGATCGTGCGTTTGTTATTATCCTTTGTTGCATTCTAAGCGATCTTTTATTTCCTTCCGTTAATCGACAGGGATCGATGCCAGTTAGAGTGAAGTCAGCACTCAGAATCGGTGCTTTCGGATTTTGCTAACTCCGCAGGTGACAGATCCCAATTCCTGCTAATTTCCACGTTTTTATCTTCTTTATGAACTCGGGTTATGGTTTTGGCCGTCCTTTTGTTGTTTTAGGGATGATAATGTGTCTGTAATGCATGGTCTTTACCACCTGATTGGCATGTTTAAGTAACATATTAGGTCTGCTATGGATAAGGGACACCTTATATAATGTTAGATTTATTACCATAGAAGAAGTATAGTTGGAGAAGTGTGACGGAAGAGGGATTTGTGAAGTATAGTTGAATTGGATTGTCACTGAAGAAGTTCAGTGTCATCTAATTCTTTACAATGGAAGTCGTGAGACACTCCCATGCCCCTCATGGTGTACTTACGGTCGAGGTCATAGAGAAGAGAGGAGCTTGGTTCCTTCATGAGTCTATTATCTTAGACTAGCTTAAGTTGGATCTTCATTAAGCTTTGGTTAAGACAGGAAAACTTTGGTCTCCAATTTTCACCGAGTAAACCAACAATGAACTTAATATATATACATACATTAATTGTTGTCCACTTGGCCAAATTGGCTTTGCGGATAGTGCTAATGAAAGAGGATAAACAAACTTTTAGCAAGAGCTCCTAAATTGAGTACAAGATACAGTTAGAAGAAGACAATAAGTGATCTTCTCAAAATTTTGATATACAAACCTTATTTTTAGATTCTTTTAGTAAGTTCATTTCTCCCACTTCAACAGGATAACGATGTGGATGAGTTAAATTGTACTCTATGTTTGTCAATTTATTTTACATGATTGTGGTAATAAATATTCTTTCTCCAAATTTTTTAATACCAATGAGATATAAATTTGTATCAAATTGAGGCCAATCAATTTCTTGTTACCATTTATTTTAGATGAAAATGACATTTTTTGGAACATCTGCATATCATTATTATTATTATTATTATTTGTAAATGGTAAGGTGACAAAGGTGGGGTTCGAGCCCAAGACCCTATGATAAACTGTCAGAGTTTTTACAAATTAAGTTGACTGACACTTCCACAAAAGATTGATACATGATTGGTCCCAGCTGAAGAACATACTTCTTTTGCAGTTAAAATGGCTCCGATTTTTTCTCACATTGAAAATTATCCAGACGAACCCTCATTTCTGACTATTAAAAAAATATTAGCCAGCAAGTCTTTAGGTTGAGTTTTAGAGAAGGAACTTTATCTGTGAAACAAATTTACTGTTTGTCTATGTTTTTATTTTATATTGCTTTGTAACATAGCTATGAAGTATTAACTTTTCAGTTCAAAGTAATTATTAAAAGGTCATAGTGGTTTACAGTGCAAGAGGCATTAGGCTAGAAGATCTAATGATTTTGAAAGAAAAGCATCTCCAAGAGGTTCATCTTTGGGTTGTTTTGGTTGCATATTATGCTTCTTTTTCTGTTGATTTTCTCTGCTGGATAAGTCTTCTTTATTACTTTTAATTGTGTGCCTGTGTTGTATACCTCATAAGTTTGAGTAATCAATGATTATCCATACTTTTCTGAAATGTTCCAAGTATAGCTTCATAATCAAAGTATATCCTACTTAATTCTCAACTACAGTTGTGCAATCTCCAAGTCCTTGCAAATTAGGCTAGCTTTCGAGTTATCCCTTCCTCATATTATCCTTCAATTAATGACATAATGAACTCCTGCACTTGTTACATTGATAGTACCCCTAGAATACCAACTAAGAGAAGTTTTTCATTTCCAAAACATTAATGGAAAACCTCTTCCTGTTTAGAAATAGCATTTTATCCCTGGCTCTCTTTGCTTATTTTGCTTTGTATAGCCATGGGATGATGTCTGCTAGAAAGCCCTGCTTTACAAATCTTTTCTCACAATATGTCAATGTAATGCACTTCAGTGACCATAGTTGGTGGCTCTGGCCAACCAAGTACTTGGAACCATGTATCTTGCAATTGTTTGGCAGCTATGGATTTATCAGTGGAACTTTATATATGGTATCATCCATGTGGATTAAGTTTTCTTTCACATTTTCCAGTTAATGAGATGCAATAAAGATCCCTTGACCTGAAATTTCTGCAAGATATTTTGATATCTTGAGATTGCATATTGTCAATAATTCAAGCGTGTTCTATTTTGCATTCTCAATCATTATTCTTATTGCGACTTACAACTTCAGTTTGTTTTCTTGTATACTGGATTCCTTCTATCAACCTGTTAAATGTTCCATCATTCATGTTAATTGTTGACAAAAGAAGGCATGGGTAGATATATTTTCATATTTACTATCGGTTGACCTTGTATCCATGATTTCCAGATAATTGTTCCTCGTGGAGAATCAGTTCAGAAATTTTGATTGCTTGTTGAGAGAGATTTGAAGCTGAACTTGCACTGGAGCGAACCAAGTAATCCCTATTATCTTTCATGCAAGTAGGGTACTTTGTGAATGTTGTTTTAATTTCAAGTATCAGTCAAGATTAATCTGGAGGATATTTCATAGTGGTGACAAATCCATGGCGCATGGATTGAGATATATCTCCTTTGTAATGAGTGGAAAGCCGGTTGTGGGAGAGCTCTAATGTTGGTATGACCGTGCAGGCTAATGCCAGAATCTACTCTGACAGCATCAAAGGAGAAAAAGCTTACAGGAAGGCCATGATTTGAGAGTTGAAGACATGCAATGATATCTCGTATCATTCTTCCATTCTGTAAATACTGAATCTGATAAATAGTTTTGTGACCATCCACCTGTGGAGTATATTTCCGCTCTCCGATGGGTATGTCATCCCGTTCGCTTGGTTGGGACCCATCAGATGAACGGCCAGATTCGCCGCTCGCACACTGACTCGATTGGTGCGACGTTGCGAATTAGGTCGCGGTCCATGCCGAACGAGAGACACGAACTTGAGGGGCTGAATCGTCGGTTAAGTCGGCCTGACCGCAAGCAATGCGGCCAATCGACATGGTCCGACTCACCCGACTCCTGTTTCAACGGTCGGATCTCGGTGATTGCCTTCCATTTATTTAATTAACCGCATCTCGAACTATATACGCTTATATATATCGGTCGACGCCATCACTTATCGCTCCTCATCCTCTGGTTTTGTGGTCCGTGCCGCCGCCCCTCAAACCCTAGCCTTACCCTGCCGTGATATCTCCTCTGGCTTCCTGTCTCCCCTCTCCCTCCCTCCCCGCGAAACCCTAGAAAACCTCGCCCTTTCGGTCTTATTTTTTTTCTTGCAGACGCGCTTTCAACCTCCTTTCAATCCCTAATCGGCGGTTTCCGGTCTCGAAGGTGAGTTTTCGGTGCTACTGATGCGTTTACTTTTTGGTTTTGCTAGATCTGGGCCCTGATCTTTGTTTCCCTGCGATGTAGAATGGGTGAAGCCAGGGACAACGATGCTTACGAGGAGGAGCTTCTTGACTACGATGAGGATGAGGAGAAGGCTCCCGATTCTGCCGCTGCCAAGGCTTCCGGTGAATCGGTGAAAAAGTCAGTCGGAGATCTTTTACTAGTCGATCCCCTTTGTTTATGCTGATCCGCCGAAGCCCTTTTTTCTTGATTTGAATTTCGGAAGCACCGTGCGCAGTTGCAAATATTTTCTCCTTGTTATGAAGTTGATTCCAATTTAGATCTGTAGTTATAGCCTTTAGTGATTTATTCATTTATGTAATATCTGCAATTTTTATGCCTAATTAGGTCTTCTTAAACATCTTAAACATTTATTTCTTAATATATGTGTTCTTGATGTAGAACATCATCAGCACGAGAAATTCTTGGTAGCTAATGCTTTTTGCTATTATATTTCATGACACGTTGCTTCTCACAACTATAGTTTTGTGTTGTGTGGCTGTCTGAGAGTGTTTTCTCTTCTTTGACTGAGGAAACTTTTTTTTTTCTTCCTTCATGTTGCCTCTGGTCTTATCTCTGTCTCTCTTATTAACCATTTTCATGATGATTAGTCCCGTTAGCCATTTGATCAGTTTTGGTTTTATCCTGAGGTAAATAGGAACGGCTTATCATTTAATCTTTTGATTGATGCAGGGGTTATGTTGGGATTCATAGTTCCGGTTTCAGAGACTTCCTGTTGAAGCCAGAACTTCTCCGTGCGATCATAGATTCGGGTTTTGAGCACCCTTCTGAAGGCAAGTTATAAATCATAATTGTTGATCTTGATATTTGAATATCAAGAAAACATTTTTTTCCTGTGGGTTATATTAAGTTCACATTTACAAATACACTTTTTGTGAATTGCGCGAAACAGTCTCTTCCTTCTATGTTTAAATTGGGAATGGAATTTTATGTTTTGCTTTTTGAGTTATACTTGTCGAATGGATTCTTGAATTCGACCATCTAGGGAAGCTAATGCCCAACATCATTTGTTCTATTGTTGACTAGGCAATGACAGTAATAAATCATTTTCTTATTGTTGTTAAGATAATCCTATACTAAGTCTGACACAACAACCATCACACTCTAGGTTGTTGCGATACTTGGAAAGCCACATCAGTAGTTATCCTTAAATTTAGTATTGATTTGGTTTGTCTTACTTTATAAGACCTCGGTTTAGTCCCGTATTGAAGTGAGCTAAGACTAAGATTGATTTATAAGAGCTTAATAAGTGTATTACTGATAACTTCAGTCTAAGCATTTTGAGTTAGTGGTTCAAGCTAAATGAAGTTAACAGGGCAGTTATCATATCAAGTTGTGTTGTGACAATTGGTATTGGAGCCGACCTAATATTAGGGCATGGTTCAAGGTTCGAGTAGGAAAAGGTTACTCGTGGATGAAGCTTGAGAGCATGTCACAGTATGGAGCAAGCACTGATCCATGTCTCACATGCACTATGCTACGAGATGAATTTGGGTTATGTTGGGCTTGATAAGGATGTCAAGCCCTCAAGTGGAGGTGATTGTATTATATTGATTTAGTTTCACATCGGAAGTGGGATTAGAAAAAAATTGACTTATAAAGGTTTTATAGGTTAACTATAACATCAGCTTAAGCATTTTGAGCCGGTGATTCAGTCTTAACGAAGTTAATCATAGAATCAAGTCGGGCTGTGACACACCTTTTGAAAACAACATGAATTATTTAACTGACGTTCAAACTTGAAGTTATATAACATTTTTATACCAGATTTGGATGGTTAGTCAAACTTGAAAATCATACTCTTTGCTAGAGCATGTAATTCTCTAGCATGGACAATTGTATCAGCATCTGCACTTTCTAATGGCTTATTTTTTTGTTTCCATAAAAGAGTCAGACAGCATGAATCCTGATTTGTATCAGCGTCTGTGATTGAAAATCATTTTCTATGCTAGAGTATGCAATTCTCTAACATGGGCAATTGTATCTGCATCTGTACTTTATAGTGGTAATTCTTTTTGTTTCCATAAAAGATACAGACAGCCTGAATGCTGATTTGGTCCCACTTTGGAAATAGGAAGATAAATGTGTTTGTATATAAGGTTAGATGAGCCTACCATCAAAACATTTTGACCAGTGGTTCAGGTTCATTTAGATTTATGTCAATTGGTATCAAAGCAAGTCTACCACATAACATGATAAGGGGTTCAAGTAGGAAAGAACAACCATGGATGGGGCCGAAGGTCAATCGCCGCATGGAGGTAACTGTCATACACTTGGCTAGATCTAGCCCAATGCAGGTACCATTGATTTCCGGCTACGATGTGAATCTCAGACTTCAATGAAGATGTCAGGCTTGAAGCGGGGGCAGGGGGCGTATTTGATTTTCTGAATCCAATTTCACAGCAACTGGCATACACTTGGGCTTGCCTCTTGGTTATCATATTGAGTGCGTTTGTGACAAATCAGATGCCTGACTTAATTTTTAAATGTTTACCCTATTTCTGGTGGATGAGCGGATCATCTGACCTCCTGTACGTGACAGTCATTGGTGTTGGTTAAAATATGATATTCTGAACTATTCTGTGCATCAGTATTTTTTCTTGTAAAACTTTTGTTTATAAGCCTTTTTAAAACATTAATTGTTGTAAACTGTTCCTTTTTCCAATTGAAAGTGCATCAGGAGAGTCAAGGTGTAATGTCTCTTATATTATAATGAATTTCATTTTTACACAATTCCTCTACAGATGCATGAAATTTTGTTGCATTTGCAGGTAATCAGTACTTCCACATTCCTGAGTTTGGAGAATGGTAAACCTTTCCATTAAAAGGATCCCGAAGGTTATTTTTTACTTACTGGGGTACTGCTCCAATTTTGTTTGGTTCTCCGTCAGTACAACATGAATGCATCCCTCAAGCTATCCTTGGAATGGATGTCATCTGCCAAGCAAAATCTGGAATGGGGAAAACAGCTGTTTTTGTTCTTTCAACTCTGCAGCAAATTGAGCCAGTTGCGGGCCAAGTAGCTGCACTTGTGCTATGTCATACCAGAGAACTGGCCTATCAGGTTATTATGAATCATTCATCAAGGAATTGTGTCTCTTAGATCTGTATTATGCTTTGAGGATACTGACTTCATATTGGCCTAATGTTGCAGATCTGTCATGAATTTGAAAGATTCAGCACTTATTTGCCTGATATTAAGGTTGCTGTATTCTATGGGGGAGTTCACATCTTGAAGCACAAGGACATTTTGAAGAATGAATGCCCTCATATCGTTGTTGGCACACCGGGAAGAATTCTGGCACTTGCAAGAGATAAAGATCTTTCTTTGAAGAATGTGAGGCATTTTATTCTTGATGAATGTGACAAGATGCTTGAGTCCCTTGGTATGCTTTTTTTTTTCTTGACATCAAAGTTTTCTTTTGGTCATCAGCTTGATTGTTTTTGCACCTTTTGTATATCCAAATATTGGGATTCCTTTCTAACACTTGTGTTTGTCATGTAGACATGCGGCGAGATGTGCAGGAGATTTTCAAAATGACACCTCATGACAAACAAGTTATGATGTTCTCAGCAACTCTCAGCAAGGAGATCCGCCCTGTTTGCAAGAGATTCATGCAAGATGTAATATCCTGTGGCCAGCTCAGATTTGAAGTCTTTTGAGTTCTTACCTCTGTTTATTTCTGGCTTTTGGTTATGTATAACCTGTAGCATCTCCAGAATCAGCAGCTTAAAGTTCCGATTATCCTTCTAGTTAGCCCATTTTAGATGGTGCAGTTGGTTGGGCTGTAAAGTGGGGGTGAGAGGTGTGGGTTCTTGAGGAATCCATGTTTGGCTATCATGAGAGTTTTATGAATCAGGCTATTTAGTGTCATCCTCTGTTGTCCTCTCTGATTTATGGTAATTGATGTTTATTCGTGTGGGTGGGCTTAGTTCCTTTTTTTTCCTGTTGGGGGGTTTACATATTTTTGGGCATGTGGTGTGGAAACAAGGCGGGGACTATGGACAGCTCTGTGTGTATCTGGGCATGGTTAGGATGGTTATTGGTGAGGATTTCTAGTTCACAGAAATGGGCAGCAGTTCAAGCAGTGCAGTTCATACGTCATTGATTTGGTACTGGATTCTCCACTTGAAGACAAGACGCTAATCCTCTTTAATCTGACATTTTTTCCCTTTCAGCCTATGGAAATATATGTTGACGATGAGGCCAAACTGACACTGCATGGTTTAGTACAGGTACTTAAATTGATATTTTGATATCCATCTTTATGCTTCTTCTTCTTCTCCATTAAATGGTTATCATCATCCAGCACTACATTAAACTGACCGAGTTGGAGAAGAATCGGAAACTGAATGATCTTTTGGATGCACTGGACTTCAATCAAGTTGTGATCTTTGTGAAAAGTGTGAATCGAGCAGCGGAGCTGAACAAGTTACTTGTTGAGTGCAACTTTCCATCAATCTGTATACACTCTGGCATGTCACAGGAAGAAAGGTAGATACTTGAATGATGTGTACTTTCGAATTACATAAATTTGTGGAATGTCTTAGCTTTTTCTAGGATTCTGCAGATAAACAAAGTTTTTCACTTCTCTTCATCTTAAGAATATCTCTAGGAAGCTGGTTTAGTTTTGGTTACAATTTCAATGGATCAATAAAACTCTTCAGATATTTGTTAAAATTTCCTTATAATTGTTTTTAAACTATTCTTTCACTTCACAATAAGGCAGCAGGATTCTGTTGATTTATTAGTTTTTTGTTGGTACAATATATATGTGGTTCACAAGATCTCTCCCTCTTAAAAAGGAGGGGAGGAGCTATGTTCTCCAACGATATCAGATGTGTTATTTCTATTTGTAAAAATAAACTTCTATTCTGCTAAATTTCTCTTTATACGTATGTTGCCATGTTCTTGTACAAATATTTTTTTTTGCTTCTCAGTTGGGTTTGCCAGTTATAGAATTGTTTATGATTGGCCGAAGATTTTCTCTTGTACTTTCGGTCGTAATGCTGGAAAGTCACTGAACTAATGTGTTATGGTCCAATGTACTTATCTTGGCCGAAGATTTCTCTTGTACTTTTTTGGTGGTAATACTGGAAAGTCAATGAACTAATGTGATATGGTCCAATGTACTTATCTTAGCTGAAGATTTTTCTCTTGTACTTTTGGCCGTAATGCTGGAAAGTCATTGAACTAATGTGATATGGTCCAATGTACTTATCTTTTACTTGTGTTTCTGTTTAACATCACCTTCGTTCCATTGGCCGGTATTGATATGTTTTATACCATTCAGTTGCGGTAATATTGTTTTGTTGTCTTCCTGCAGGTTGACCAGGTATAAGAATTTCAAGGAAGGTCTCAAAAGGATTCTTGTTGCTACTGATCTGGTTGGCAGAGGAATTGATATTGAGCGAGTCAACATTGTAGTAAACTATGACATGCCAGATTCTGCGGACACCTACCTGCACAGGGTCATTCTCTTGTGCTAAATACTCGACTACTAAATGATACTAGTTGAACCTCATCAGCTTGCTAACTGCTTAAGGTTTGCATCTTTTTCAGGTTGGAAGGGCTGGGCGATTTGGTACCAAAGGACTTGCCATTACATTCGTCTCATCAGCTTCAGACTCTGATGTTCTTAATCAGGTTTCCTTTGCTGTCAACTATGTGAATCTTCTCCTGAGCTTTAAATTGTTGTCTAATCAAACATATTTCGATGACTTGAAGGTCCAAGAGAGGTTTGAGGTGGACATAAAGGAGCTGCCAGAGCAGATTGACACTTCCACATACAGTAAGTTTCGATGCCTACGTTTGATTGCGTCTCCTTTGTACTGCTGGCACTACATGAGATCTATTGTACCTCCGAAACATATACAGCATCACGTAGCTCATGCTTCCACTATTTACCACCATGAGATTTGGATGTTCATGTCGACTTGTTCGTTGCATGAGTTACCACTTTATGTGACGTATATCATGTTCATTTCTTGTTATCTAGTTTGACATTTTTGCTGACCTCAATTCTTTCTGGGTTTGCAGTGCCCTCATGATGAACCTCCTTAAAGTTGCTCCGGTAAACTGGTTGGGATGAGGACGATGACCTTGGAGCAATGATGTAAAAGTTTCACTAGAATTGGTTGTAGAAGTTCATTTTGGAGCAGGTTGTGTTAGGAGCGTAATTTTAAAACGTAGACGCTGCTGTAGCTTTTTACAGCTTTAACAATAGATTGGATGGTTTACTTGTTGCTTTAGTTACTTTAACAAACGATCATGTTCTAAGAATCCTATATATCCGTAGATCTAATCCTTATACGCTGCTTGGCATAATTAGTCATTGTGTTATTTTATTTGCCTATTTATTGCTGTTTTTTGTCAATTTTTTTTTACATTGAATCGAAGCATCTCGAAGCTCTTTCTTGTTGTTTGCTTGTCTGTCTGCATGGTCATTGCAAGGAATAGCGGTGCCGTCGACGAAAGCCAAATTATGATACTGTTTGAGACAAAAGCTTGTCATCTATAGTCTTGTATGTAGCGACCGCGTTTACCCCATCGGTTTCGGCCATTCTGATCTTTTACCGTAGGCGGGCCCGCGGTAGTAATGTGTGGCGCCCAGCACGTGTCAGTCTCCTACTTTCCCGTACCCGACCCGCTTCGCTGGTCCTCTCCTTAATCCAGTTTGCGTAAAATCCTGTGCGATGATTAGGCAGCACAGCCGATCGGCTCTCCCTCGTGTCCCGTACCCCATGCAAAAGCTGTGACTTTGATTTGTGTTTCGTGTGATTACTACTCGTTTGCAGTAGCAATACCGTTATATTAAGGATAGAGTTTGGCCAACTAAAGCAGATTGGTCGCAGTGCGACTGCTCCAACTTAGTGTTCTCCAATGGTTCGAGTATATGCGCCGTGCTGTCTCCTCATGTCTTCAATCATCTCTTTCAGCCCATTCATGTAGTTGTTCGTGCTGTGTTGTGGACTCCATCCAAGTCGTAGCTCGTGATGTGTTTAGCTCACAACTTTGGGCCATGTCAATTACCAGCTCAGGGACGAATCTTAGGAGTCAACCTAGATATCGTCTAAAAGAGACGAAGTCAACCAAAACAAAACTGCAGAACTGCAGCTGATGATCGATCAAACGAGGGGCTCATCTTCCGCACCCACTTCAATTTAGAATTCCACAAAGACGTATGCAGCGTTCGTCTGGCAAAGTATACGACTTCCACCTCCTGACCATCTAAATTCGAATTAAAACCAGCAATGTCATTTTTTATGATCTAAAAAGGAATTGACTAAAGATAAAGACAACTTGTCAAAACACAATCAAAATCCCATTTTGTGGATCAGAAAGAATCAAGTATAGTGTCCATTGCCCACATATCTGTTATTGTTATGATCCCCAAACATCGTAAACTGAGCCACAACCTCATCAACTCGCATCATCTATTGCCTATGTACACAAAAGACCCATAGGAAAGAAACCCCGTATTTGAGTACCAAAACCAGAGTGTTTCTTACACTCCATGTCCTGTTTCACATACATATCATACCAGTACATAACCTAGACTTATTCATCCAGAAACACACTACCACAAATGTATACATATTTATATATAAATATATATCTTGTTCGCGATCCACTCTACCCAACTTCTGGTGGGTTGTAAAAGAGACAGACATGCTCAAATTGCACCTTCATCAAGCATTCTTCTCGGCGAATATGTCGAGGAGTTTTAGTGCCTGAATAGATCAAATCATAAAGTTAATTATGATTATTCACTACGATATACCAGACGAAATAAATTAAATGGCATGATAGAAGGCATCTAGAAACATACCTCTTCAACATTCAACTCCAGCCGGAATTTGGGACCATCGTAGTGGTGGAGTATGGGCCTGAAGGAATCCTCCTCTAGTGGCTCATAAAGCTTTCTTGTCACCACTCTCACCTAATCAACAAGTCGATGACAACTTCAAACACCATAATTGAATAGGTTTGTATAAGACAAGCTTGCCAGCAAATTGTAAGAGGAGTTGTTTGGTTGTTGCAAGCCCTTATGGTAGGAATAAATATTAAACCAATGTGTTGGTCGCTAGATGTATCGGCATTTGACTATGGGGGCCATGGACCAAATCTTCATACTTTACAAGATGATGGAAGTGCTTACAGCTGGCTGATCACTACTTGAATAGCTTCATAGACTAAGTCAGCGAGACTTTTTTGTTCTAGGATGCTCCTCCAGATCCATCCATGAGATGGCAGGTGAGCTGTCCCTTTAGAGAGAAGATTAAAGATGCCACAATTATGTAATGCAAACTAGTCTTCGATGAAGCTACAGTCACATGATGCATAAAAGAAAATGATCACTGTGTGAGGTGTTTAAGAAGAAACATGAAATCTGTGAAACACAACATATCTAAACTTCCTCCTAAAGGTTACAGACTTGACTCACTATGTCAGTTGAAATTTAGTGAATCAGACATTTCTCTTATGAGAACTATTAAGATATGTTTACAATCCTTTAGTAGAACAAGGTTATGGGATGCATATGTGAAGCATTAGTCTTTCATGTGCAAAAATTACTTTAGATGATTGGAATTTTCAGAAATTAGAAGAAAAGAGCCATACTATAGATCCTTTAATTCTCATAGAATCCCATTTGATACCAACTTTATCAAATGATGTGTTCTATAATATATAAATTATGTTAAAGAATGACAGATTGATATTCACCAGAAAAAAAATCTAGAAAAAATAAGAATTTAATGTGAAGAACAGTATACAAATGGGTAAAGGAGGATGCTTTTGTTATGAGGACACACCTGAGCAGGGAACCGGGACTCTCCAGGGCATTTCTTATCCTCCCATGCCGTCGGATCGATGTTGGTTCCTCCAAAGCTAGCTGACTGCGCATCAGAACACAAGGCAAAGGTTTACAAGCAATTCCCGTGAAGCACCACGGGCAAAACCCAAAAGTAACAGTTGCCAGAAATAAGGAGTGGCGTGCGGATCAATCACCTCAAAGATCCCGTGAAGCTGATGGGTGGAGTAGTTGTAGAGGAAAAGGGGTAATCCCGGCGTGATTGCTCGCACCGAATCCCTGTATCTGGATGGCAACCCTATCAAAAATCACCCATTTTAAGAACAGAGATTAGACACAAATTTCTGATCCGTATAGATTGTTTTGCTAAACTCAAATTCGTTCTCTTTCCCAAAAATCTCATTGAACGAAGCAGTTCTTAGTTGAAGATGAGCCAAAAAGATCAAAAATGAGATTTTTAGGGCGGGCGTACCGAAAAGCTGCCTCCGTAGATTTTCCTCCATGGTGTCGTTGTTGCACACAAAGATGTATCCCCCGATCGCCTCGTTCCTCGGCAGAGCTTCGGAGGGCGGCAGCGTCTTGAATCTCTTGTCCACCGCCGCATCCTTATCGTTATTGTTCTTGTTGTTGTTGCTGTTATTGTTGTTATAATTGACGTTTTTCTTCTTCTTTCCGCTTCCCCCATCGTTGCTGTTACTCTTCTTCCCATTCCCAATCACCGGCTTGTTGATGGGCTTATTGACGGCCGTGTTGAAGTAATCCTTGATGACCCCATTGCCGCCGTCGTTGTAGTTACCGCCGAAGTAACTGGAACTCTTAACACCGCCGCTCTCGCCGATCCTGTTACTGTCGGCGTTGTTGTACCGGTTGACCCCGTAGTTGCTGGTGCCGAAGGCGAGCTTCTGCGAACCAAAAGCGCTTTTCCACCCTGCGAAGGATCCGCCGCCGTTGAGATCGGTGGAGGCCGGCAGCGGCTGCTGCTTGACGTAGCAGTCGCTCCAGATGCTGTCGCCAATAGAGAGATCCGAGAGACCGGAGGTCTGCAGCCGGAGCTGATCGCTGAACTGCCAGAACGACGCCTGATCCCTGTAACTGCCGCCGTAATTGTTCTGCCCTTCCATATCTTCTTCGAGTAGTCGCAGTAGCTGCTAAGGAATGGATCGAAACGGATCGCAGTAGAAGAGGAGATCGCAATGGATCGCAGTAGAAGAGGGAGTACCGGTGCGAAGGTAAGAATGGGGCGGATAGATATAGGCGGTGGGAAGGGAAGGGGAAAGCTTCCTGGAAGAGGCGGTGGGAATCGGGGGTCGGCGAAACCGCGTGGGCGCCACCAAAACGAACGGCTGAGATGAGAGATGAAGGGTGGTTGAAGGGAAGGCGGATTTGATGGGATTTCAATTGGGGAATTGGGCAATTTGGGGATGCGGATTGCTTACTGGGGAAGGAAGTGGGCGAGTCACGGTTTCTAGAATGTGCTCAGACACGTGGGCAGCATCGGAGGGACGCTGTATGCGTGTGGCACGTGTTCGGTCGACAAACCTCGGTGGACTCCGTGTTGGGCCGTAGTAGACTCGGAGGTATATCCGCCCGTTTCCGCTTGGATCCGACTCCGCTTTACCGAATGATCTAGGCCGTTAACAACAATCCCCAGCGGATGATTCGACCACCATTTATCGGATGCGGATGTCATCCACATCTCAATGGATCCGATCCTAATGCGATGTGTTGACCAAACCCACGTGACACGTTACCTGTGATGGTGATCGGTCCCTATCGTTGACCGGGTGCTGATCGGTTGACCATTAATGAGAAATCGTAAATTTAGGAGACTAATTGCATGCTTAACTTGTAATTACGTTACTAGAATACCAAATTGATGGAGTATAATCGGGTGAGGATTCGAAATTAGGTACAACGACCGTATGGAGAAGGGTGCAAAATCCTGCTTTGATTTGCTTTCAAGTTACTTCAATGAGTGAGATGCAGTCGACAGTGGCTCAGTTTCTGCGGCCTCATCGTGTGATTTGGGCCGGACCGGCCCATTATATAGGCCTAACTTTGTCTGGCCCCGAGTGGGGAGACGGGAATACGCCAATGAAAGGTGGCCTTGGGCGGAGGCTCACACTCGCTTGACACGCGAGGAAGCTACGACGTGGGCCCCCACTTGGATTCCTCGTGTGACGACATAGCCCCTTTCATGACAGGGATTGGGTAGCTACTCACCTGTTTCCTCTTTCTTTTTAAGGTTCTTAAAGGGAGGAGGGGAAGCCGCATCGGTTCCCGTCTCCCTTTGTCCGTTTCCTCTCACCCTTTTCCACTACTTTTTCCGCATGCGGAGATTCCTACGCCACCGAGTGAGCTCAGGCTGTCCTGTTCCGAAGAGGAAACAGGATTTATTCCCTCACGCACCCAATCCAAACCTCACGTCATCAAATGGTAACCAGGAGAGAAAAGCCTGTCGCCTGCCTTGAGAATAACATCCGATCTCCAACCCTAGAGTCCGCACCGTCACTCCAGTCCCACCTCCACCAACCCGCAGCGCCCCCATGAACCACCGCCACGTCGCCGTGCTCTTTTCCGGGGTGGGTCGTGGGCGGGCCACCGCCACGAGTGGGCGCCAACCCGACACGCGTCAGGTGGTAACGCTCACCGCACCGCACCGCCAAGGAACGGGGAAAGCTACAGGATCGGTTTTGGTGGGAAACAGTGACGCTTCTGTTTCGGTGCACACCCCCTATCCTAGTGCTCGCCACTGGTTCGTCTCTCCTTTGGAGGGCCAGCCATGGTTACTTCCAAACCCATGGGAGGAGTGTGAGGAGAGGAGCCTCGAAGGACTTGTTAATGCTCCCAAGTGAAATTCCAGGAGCTGGGGGTGGGTGGTCACCTTCGTTCCTCTGTTTTCTGGAGACATGTGTCTCTCTTTTCCCCCCAAAGTGCTTTGTCCAAATTCCAGTCCTTTTCTCCTTTTCTCCTCCCTTTGTCTCGCTCTCTAACCTTCTTTTTTACGAGGTGTTTGCATTTTTGCTTTCTTTTTCCTGGATTTTTCCTTTTGGTTGAGCTTTGAAGTAGGTTCAGATGTAAAGCTGAGATTTTTCGATGTTCTTTTCACGAAGTTGGTGGCTTTGTCTTCCTTGGATGCGCTCGCTTTTGCCTTTGTTTCCTTATTTGCTTCTTCGGTAACGGGATGACGTTGTGTGGACTTATGTTCTACATAATGGAAAAGGATTCGTGGTTTTTGTGATTCAAGAAGCTGATTTGGTCCTCAAAAATCCAACCTTTTGGATCAAAAATCAAAGGGAGGTAGAAATGGGGAATACAAGTAGTGTCAGGGAAGGTGGAGAGGAGGGGCAGGGTGGAAGCTCTCACTGTCAAAGAGGGTCAGAGGATTTGATGGGGCAGAGCCCTCCTCAGAGCCCCAGAGGCGCAGCGCAGTCTCCTCTACTCTTCGCTCCCCAGGTTAGCTTTCTTCGGTTTCCTCATCTGTTACTACGTTCTTTTCCAGATTAATGAACGGATCAAGATGCCAAATGGGCGAGACCAGGGAGGAGAAGCCTTATACTGCCTTGTTGATCTTTCATTTGTTCTGCGTCTCTCTTGTTTGTTTACTACCAATGATGGTGTATCTGAAGAGATTCAATTGTTGATCAATTGTTGTTTTATACAGGTTCATTTGCAATAATTGTTTGGATAATTTTGCTGTGTGCTCAGAAGTGTTGCTTATGAAAATTGCATCTTTTCTTTATTTAATCATCTCTCCTGTCAACTTATGTTGACTATCACATTTACTACGTGATGTATTCGTTCATTGCAGATATTTGGGTAACTTGGTTTTGGTTATGATAGTTTCATGAAATTGGATGTGTAACATCCCTGATTAGTCCCACATCGAAAGTGGGCAAGACTAAGATTGACTTATAAGAGTCTGATGAGTGTACTACTATCAATTTCAGCTTAAGTATTTTGGTCAGTGGTTTAGACTAAACGAAGTTGATAGGCCAGTTAGCCCATCAGGCTCGAGTCATTATATAGAGTCCGAGTAGGAAAGGGCTACTTGTAGATGGAGTCAGAGACTTATCACGACGTGAAGCCACCATTGAGCTGCCCCTCATATGCACTATGCTAGGGCCTGATCTGGGTTATGTTGGGGTGATTGTAACATCCCTGATTAGTCCCACATCGAAAGTCGGCATACTACTATCAACTTCAGCTTAAGCATTTTGGTCAATGGTTTAGACTAAATGAAGTTGATAGTCTAGTTAGCCCATCAGGCTCGAGTCATTATAGGATGAGTGTTGTGCTTCCTTGTTGGATCATATATTTCTGTAGTTGTATCATTTTTTGGGTGTTCTTAAGGCTACTTTGGTTGTCAATTCCCTGATCATCAAGTAGAAACAAACAAGTGCTAATGACATATCTATTGATAAAATTTCCTGTGGCTGGTACCTCATAATATAAATTTTTTACAGTGCAAGTTGAAGAAATTAAAGCTTAGAACTTATTGATCGGGACATATGATTTATGATGGAAATGAACATGTCAATGACGGTACAAAAATCTTTCTTCAGACAAGCAGAGTGTTGGAATGTCAAATTGAGTATCCATTCATTTAAACAATGTGCATTAAGAATATAAATCAAATCATGTCTCATCTATTGGCCTAACCTTTTAGATGCAATGACATGGTATCAAAGCCAGGTTATACGTTGAAATCTTATCTAATGTTTTCTATTTTGCGCATTGCGGAACTAATGCTTATGCAATACCCTTTCTTCTCTATGGCACTTGGACCTTGCTTCATGTATCAAGCGTAATCCGGCTTATAGGTAATGTTAAATCTTGTAATTGTATTGGATCTTTTCATAACAGCTTAAACTTCTGGGTTTGTGGCAATCCGATCAAAATATATATCAAGCTGAATGTAGAAAACACATCTAGCAAATATCTTTCTAGCGATCGGCAAATATAATCTGGCTTTGTTTAGGTCAAGGGGTGAACATGGCAGCTTATAGTTAATGATATCACATAAGAGGACATCGTGTTGTCACGGACAAACTTCTAAACAGGATGTTTGATGTAATGCTTATGTATGTCCGTGTCTTTTGGTATGTTCATGCTCTGCACAACATGTAGAGGGACGGCCAAAGGCTTAATAGTCTCATTTTAGTTAGGTTGGTGGCCGCTTTAGGCTTGTAAATAAAGGTTGTGTCATATGGACACGTGTGAGAGATTTTCGGTCTGTAGTGGATCATTTTGACTCTTTGTTGTGCAACTGTTCAGAGCTTGTAAAGTCTGTTTGTAATTTGCATTGTTTATGAAGTGTTTTCAGAAATATTTGCTTGTGGATCCCGAGTGAGGCGTTTTCTCTAACCCGTTTTTTCTTTTTTGGGTCCTAAGGGACCATGGGAGGCTTCGGGGAAGCTGACCTTTGTGGACGGACACGCAAGAGTGCCGCACGACTTAAGCAAAACCAGCTAAGTCCGTGACAGTGTGTTCCAGAGCAAGTATCTTTATCCGGGTAGCATTTTAAGTTGTGTGTTCAGTGTGCTTGAAGTCAGGATGGGTCAATTGTTTTCTGATAGCAAGACTATGATTATAGTGCTGATCCAGGAGGACAGTTTTCCTTAAATTTAAAGTTCTTTTTTGCAAAAGCCATAATTATATTACTATATTTGCAAGTATTTGCTTTCTATGATTGTTTGAATCTGATGCTTCATCTTATCACTTGTTACGGATACGTGAGTGACCATAGATACATTTATGTTCTTAGTTGCTGACAAGGTGACTTACTATTGATTACATATGCATTCTCCCATGTTTAAACATGTTTTTGCCTCAATCAGAGTTCTCCATGTGGTTCTGGGGCCTTCAGTATATAATTAATACTCTTCATATTTTTCAGTAAAATCTGATGGATACCATATCACATGTTTCATTTCCTCTCCAGGTCCCTATGACTCCATTGCAAAGACATGAAGAGATGCATTCGCCGAGTGATTCATGTACGCCAAATTCCCCAATGTATGAGGATGCCCTTGATGTTCAAGGGATTCCAACAATGATTACTTGGGGCCATGGCGGCAGGGAAGTCTTTGTGGAAGGATCTTGGGATAACTGGATGACAAAGTACAATGAACGAGATTTTGTACCCCAAACTCTACTTGTTAAGATAAGATATAGCGGTCGAAGGAGGTTATATATTGTTTTGTGTTATTGCAGGAAGCCCTTAGAAAGATCAGGCAAGGATTTTACAGTCATGATGGTGCTTCCTTCAGGTTTCTACCAATACCGATTCATTGTGGATGGAGAACGGAGATATGCCCCTGACCTCCCATGGATGAACGATGATATGGGAAATATCCATAACATTTTAGACTTGCAGGTAGCTTTTTCTTGAACTGTTGAACTGTTGATCCTTTTTTTCATTTGAGTGCTAATTTCTTTTGCATTGTTTACTTTAATGGAAGAAGTGTTTGTTCGCTTGTATATATTTTAGTTGTGCTAGACTGACAAAATTCGGCACCTTATTTTTATTTATTGAGAGAGAATTTTTAAACAGTGTCTTCTTACAGTTTATGTGTTTCATGAACTTTAGTTCCTTAAATTTATTTATCAAGAGATAATTCTTTGACATTTTATCCTTTAGTTAATGTGTTTCATGAAATTTACCATGTATTTTCTCCTAGGAAGAATATTATGTCGCAAATTGTTAGTTTTAGTGGCATTTGGCACACCATTCTCTCAACTGAAAAGCAAATTTGTAAATGCATGCATACCATAACAACGATTGAGCGACACAATTTCTGGATCGAAGAATATACTTCCTGTAAAATTTGTGCATCTCTCTTTTAAGTGTTGCTGCATTTGTGCCTTAAACCAATTGTGCGTGTGACCAACTTGTCTATTGCCTAGTATTAATTAACGGTGAACAGTCCTCCAAAATTCATATAGGTTTTGATAAGATCTCTTTTGGTTGACATCTCATGGTTAGACATAAGCCGAAATTAATGAAAGGGAATTTCACAACTAAATATCCAAGCTTAGTACAACAGTTTATCGTGCCGCAGGATTTTGTCCCAGAGGATTTAGGAGGTGTTGCGGGTTTCGAAATGCCTCAATCGCCAGAATCAAGCTACAGCAACTCACCACTTAGTTCAGAGGACTACCGAAAAGAGCCACCGCTTCTACCTCCGCAGCTGCACGTTACCGTTCTGAACGCACCAGCCGCCATGGATTGCCCCTCCTCTCTCACGAGGCCTCCGCATGTGGTGCTAAATCATCTCTATATTCAGAAAGGGAAGAGCAGTCAGCCTGTTGTGGCACTTGGAAAAACTCATAGGTTTCTCTCCAAGCATGTCACTGTGATACTGTACAAGTCCATAGCAAGATGATGTACAGATATAGCTGGTTAGTGTACCTGTCAAAACTCATGGCACCATTGTTCTGGTCTATGTTCAATAAAACTGTAATGTTACTTAATAGGACTTCCGTGAAGGATGAACACATATCTATGTTCATGTGAAAAGCAATTATTACTTGCTCTGATGCTTCTTCCTGCTAAAAGTTTGAGAACCAAGGTTTCTTTTTTACTCTCTGGTTAACAGATATCAAATAACATGGATTTGAAATTTATTGAGAGTGAAATCAATGTGTTTTACAAATCACAAGGTGTTTCGATGTGTATATGGAAGATTGAGATCATTGTACATGATTGTTGACTCTTAAGACAAGAATATTGTATTAGATCATACTCCTCCTGCCTGCTGCATGAACTTCCACGACAAAGAATGCTTAAAATGTCACATGCTCTGATGTTCATGGAGATTACCAAGTAGCAATCTCTGTTTCCTACTTTTTCCAGTATTTTTTGTCTGTTCACCTTTGAGGTCATGATCAAGAAAGCTTGTTTTGTATATGGGATTTCTTCATAAGGTATTATTACTCTACTACATGGATGAATTTCCACACCAAAGAATGCTTAAATTGTCTCATTCTCTGTCTGACATTTATGGAGATTACCAAACAGTAATCTCTGTTTCCTACTTTTTCCAGTATTCATTGTCTGTTCACCTTGAAGTCATGATCAAGAAAGCTTACATTTTGTATATGGGATTTCTTGAGAAGGTATCATCATCCTTCTAAACTGGATCATCAGGAGCAAACAGGAAGACCACGAGACTTGGAACAAGGAACCATGTAGGTCAAAAGCAAGTATCAAGCTTGTTGAATGAGAGCCGCCAATCTGAAGTCGATGTTCACACCTATTCACATCCTGTTCCTTAGGAAAGTTCCATCAACGGACAAGACAGCTACATACCTTTCTTCTTTATCCAGCTGATGTGAGTCAAGCATCAATTGGGGGGTAGAAGATGCAATTACTCCGATGAAGTGAGAACACAAATTTACTGTTCTTGCCACTCCACCTGCAACCAAAAACAGCCCCAACTTGTTAGAATGAGCTACGGATTTGAAGGTTATTGATCTTATTGACTGTTCTTACTCGTTCTTGGCTCATCATCAAGTCTGTAACACATGTCAAACCAGAGTGTTGAACATCGACTTGAAGAGTCAAAGTCTTTCGACGTCAATCTTTGAAAAGAGGTTGGGAAACTTAAAAGCATTAAAGCTTCGTTGTCTTTTGTCTCGTTACTGAACCATCGTATTGCTGCCCATTGACGAAGTCTATGTTGACTTGAGGTCACCTTCCAGAATCTTACAGAGCAACTTCATAGCGACTTCATGTGATCGATTGCAGTTGGACCCGCGGCATGCTTCAGCCTCTCCTACGAATCAGTGCCGTGTCTGAGAATGGACCCACCGAGATCAGATGCATGAGAGTGGAACACAAGCTTCAGGAGCTGTCTCCGTCCATGCAGCTGATCCACTGAGCTGCAGTTGACACTGTCATCGTCTCTCCAAGCGTGATCCTGTATAAGTGAGACATCACGACAATGCCTTTCGCCACCCATGAGAAGAGATCGAGACTGTGTGATGGACGCAGCGAAGCAACCGAGGCGCGGAGCTGCCGTCGATCACGCCTTCATCCGATTCCTCCTCCCCGTCTCCGTCCTCTTCTTGGTCCTCTCTTATTGCCACTCCTGCGACGTCCGTCTCCTTTCCGTCCAATTCACCTCGACCCTTCTCCATGACCTCGACCACTTCATCAGCAGGAAGGCCATGCTCCTCTTCTGCAACGCCCTCCTCTTGCTCGTCACCAGGGACTCCGGCCTGCTCGGCTTCTTCGCCCCCACCACCAACAACTCCGACGAGGAATCCGACCACAAACAGCTCCGACTTGATCGTGGCGACCCCGAGACGGAATCTGCTACGGTTAAACCGTGCCCTGTGGAGGAGAAGGCGGCGGTGACAAGCGGCCCCGAAACCAAAGGGTGCGAGGTGGAAGAGAAGGCTGAAGCGGGAGGTGATGCATCTCTTGAATCGGTTGCGGTGGAGGGAATGGACACGGAGAGGGTTGATGAGGATGAGACGGAGGACGAGAACATAGATGAGTTGAACAGGAAGTTCGAGGCGTTCATAGAGCGGGTGAAGAACGAGAGAAGAATGGAGGCTCGTCAGCTTGTTGTGGTCTGAGATTGCAGAAGCTTCATGCATTCTCTGGAAACAGTTTTCTCTTCTCTTTTCTTTCGTGCTCCGTCTCTTCTCTCTCTCTCTCTCGCGATCAGAGTTGAGATGTACATTAAACCTTAGTGGATCGGCACAATGATTCGATGATCTTGGAATTGGAGTTGATCGAACTTGTTTGTGCATACGGAGTCAACCACTCGGGTCAATTGGGATTCATGAGATCCAAAAGCTAGCTGTGATTGTGATCTCATTAGGTTCCGAAGGAGATTTCCACTCGAGGCATCGACAACATGTGAGTAGACGGAGACCATGAAAAGATGATTCCATGGTATCATCAAGAAGACTTGATAGCCAATACGAAGACTTGGCAGTGCGGCTTCGCGTTATACTTTTAAATAATATATATATTATTTTATTATTTATAGACTCATTATTACTGATTTTATTTTATTTTTCCTTATAATCTCTTATTTAGTCTTGCTAATGTCGTTTGGTATCGTTCGATCTCACTTGTCTTTCTCGATATCATCCATTAAAGATGAAGATGATGAGATGGAAGAAGAAAAAGAGGCATCGACAAAATGTGGGTAGACGGATACCATGAATAGATGATTCGATGATATCATCAAGAAGACTTTATAGCCAATACAAAGATTTGACGGTGCGACTTCGCATTATATTTTTCATAAATAACTAAGTTAGGTTTACTATAGACCGAATTCATAGGAAAAGTGATAAATGATTGGAAGTATTCATGGTATTAAACAAAAAAAAGAGAGCTACTAAGAAATTCTGAAAATGTAACCCATAAAAAGAGAGATTTTTCTCGAGAATTCATCCATTATTAAATAATACTTTTTATATAAAAATTATGTGGGTAGTGAACAATAGCATG